ACCCCCGGCCCCCCCCCCCCCCCGCCTCCTGGGTGCATGGGCTGTATAGACTAGGGGTCTAAACTCACTGCTGCGTCAGCTTATGGTGAGGGGCACTGGGTTCTCTCTCCCTGGGAAGAGGAGCAGCATCTGGGGGTGGGCTGAGGCTTTTCCTCTTGGAGCCCCTGAAGCCCCCCACCCCCGAAGAAGAGAACACAAAGAAATTCCAGTGTTGGGGGGTGGGGGAGGTCTGGCTCCCCAAACCCTGGAGGGATGCCCAGGTACACAAGACAAGAACAGGGCTCCCTACACAGAGGGCAGGCGGGTGGGGCTGGAAAGGGGAAGATACAGCAACACTAAAGCCACAGTCGAACACAACACCATGGGGAAGGGCTGGGGGGAGGGAGGAGATAAAAAACGAAGCCAAGTCGTGTCTGTCCTGAGCTCCCCCGGCTCCCCAGGAGTTTGGGGCTGGCTTTGGGCAGCTGGGCGAGTCTGCTGCACTCCTGGAGGAGTGGGCGGTGGGGGGCAGGCAGGGGGCGTGCGGGTCGGGGCTGGGGAGAAGTGGGCACAGACAGAGGCTCTGGAAGGGGGGCTACACATACCACTCCTTCTTGGAAATGAAAGACCCGTCGTTCTGAGAAACCATGTTCTCAGCCAAGTCCAGCTGCTCAGGGTCGTACTGGTAGCCCAGAGTCCGGTCCCCGTAGCCATCCTGACGGGCTTCTGCCTCATCCACTGTGAAGTAGGGCCGTTTGGCGTCCTCGTCATATTTGGGGTGGGGGGGTGGGGGCCGCCCCCCTTGCGCTCGCCCCCCCCGCCCTCCTCCTCCTCTTCCTCCTCGTAGCTGCTCCCGCCCAGCGGGCCAGCCTTCTTCTCGTCGTCTGAGTCGTCGGGGTACTGCAGGTTCTGTGCCATGGGCGGGTGGTGCTGGGGGATGCCTGCCTTGCTGTAGCCGTTGCCGTACACGTGCTTCTTGGTGCTGTAGTCCCCCTTGAAGGTGTGCCGGCGCCGGCGCAGGGCCATCACGATCCCGCCGACCACAATCAGCACGAGCAGGACGCTCCCCGCCACGCCCCCAATGATGGCCGTGGGCACCGGCCCGGCGCGCCGCCCATGCTCGGGAGGAGACGGGGTGTAGGGGAATTCTGGGTGAGGAAAAGAGATGGAGGGGACAGTCAGCGTGTGCTCCTGGAGCGTGGGCGGGGGGGAGGAGGGAGGCAGGAGGCAGGGGAGGAAGAGGCCGGGATGGACAGGCTGTCTGCACCCCAAGTTCCAGCAGCTCCAGTTCCAGAGGCTGTTGGGCACCCACCCCTCCTGGAGCCCAACTGTGCCTCAGAATGGCAGCTGGAGCAAGAGGCAGGCAAGAGGAGAGAGAGGCAGGAGACAGCACCCACAGCACTAGGCCTTCTGTCCTGTCTCTGGACCTGATGCCAACCCGCCCAACCCCCATTCGTGGTGCACAGAGACACATGTGCCAGCTCCACCCTTGGCACTGTGTCCAGTAGATGCCATTCATGGTCACAACCTTGTGAAGCAGGTATGCTATTCATGTCCATTCAATACACGAAGACACGAGGCTTAGCCACCCAGCCAATGATGCCACATTGCTTCTCTTGCGTGTAAAGTCTGTGTAAATGTCACCAGTGCCCCTCTGCCCAACACCTAGTGGCTACTATGCCCCAACACCATTGCTTTGGCTTCCAAGATGCCTGATTTCGTCTGCCCCCAGGGTACAGGGAAAACGGGTTCCCAGGTTCTGGCCCAGTAGATGTTCTATGAGTGCCAATCAGCTGCTAAGGTGCCAGAAACCAGGGCTGTGGCTGTTGGCTGTAGTCTGGCCCTGCATGGCAAAGTGGAGACCTGGCGGTGCTGCTAGCCTGGGCTGTAAGCATAATGTACGCAGCATGCAGGGCGCAGGCACATGCAGGGCTGGGCAGAGAGGGGGCATGAAAGTGCGTCTGTATAGCAAAGGCGACGAGGACACACAAGAGAGCGTGTGCATGGGCACACACTCTTGTCATCATGGGCAAGCCCGCGACTCGGGAAGCACATATCTGGGGGAGGGCCTACATGCCTGTGCTGGCGTGATGGATCTCTGTGCACAGATATGTGCACAACTGAGAGCAGAGTGGAGACGAGAAGGCAGGAGAGGTGAAAAGGAGAGAAAGGAAGCAGGTGGGACAGGAGAGGAGGCTGGGTGGATGACTTCTGTGCCAGTGGGGCTGGCTACAGTGCTGTTCTGCTCTGGGCAACGCTGCCCTTTCCCTTTTCTTACAGGGCCTGGGAGAGTGGGTGAAGCCAGGGCCATGCCAGTGGTCAAAGAGGTCCCAGGGACCTCTAAGGGAGGCGGTTCCCAGCACCACCACAGGGTGGCACCGGAGACCACGGCTGGCCTTGGTCAGGAGGAGCTGGGGTGCGGGTTCAGGGCAAGCCAAGAGGGCTGAGCTCCCTCGGCTGCTCTGGCCCTGCTCTTTTCAGGCCAGCAGGGTCAGGGGTGGGTTTGGGGACATGTCCCGGCATTGGGAGTCTGTTGTTGCCAGCTCCCTTCCTGATTCAGCTTCTCCCAGGTGGGTGTGTGTGGTGCTGTCTGAAGCAGGCAGGGGCAGGGCAAGGATTCTAGAGAAGCGGAAAGGTCTTCCTGGAGTTCAGGCTGAAAGGATTAATGAAAACACGGGGGCCCAGAGAAAAGGAGCCTATGTGTCCAAGGTTACATGGTGGAGCTGGGACTACCCAGGTGCTTCTGCACCCAGACCCTAACGTGCAGGAAATGGTAGAGAAGCATGACTGCCAAGGACTCGGCTCCCCACTTGTCCTCAGTGCAAGTCACCAAGTAGCTGCCCAGTAAATATTTATTGACAATATGTCTGGACTGCCTATCTCCAGAACACCCTCCCTGGAACCTCAAGCTTCTCCTGGCTCACCAAGTCCCATCTGTTTACTGTCCTTAAAAGGGCCCCACACCTGCGCCCCATGAGATGGGAGTTCCACAGACAGCTGAGAGGAACCCAGCCCCTACCTGTCCAGTTCTCATCCAGATCTGAATAATTTCTCTTCTCTGCATATGCCTCCAGATCTTCATCCACCCTTCAGTCAGTAAACATGTACTGAGCATCTATCTTGCTAGATGCAGGAAACAAGAAACTCAGCCTCGCTGGGGAACCGCATGACACTCTTAGAGACATAGCAGCAGGCAGCTGCGAAGGGACTTGGCAGCGAAGTGCTCAGGAGTGCAGGGGAAGAGAGCACTATGGCTTGCAGTTAGAAAAGGCTTCTTGGAGGAGGCTGGACTTTGTCCAGGCTTGAAGGATGGCAAGGACTTGGAGAGGCCAAGAGAATAAAAAAGGCATCCAGATGGAGGGACCTGCCTTTTTTCCCTGCATTATTTCCCTTGCCTCCCATACAGGATTCCTTGATCCCTGGCTTTCCTCTCTGAGTGTTCTGTCTCTGGCTGGAGAGCTGGGCTTTGTCTCTGCTCCAGTGTCTCACTGCAGGCTCTGTCCTTGTACCCTCAGCCCTCAATCTACTTTCTTTCCTAGTGACAGCTCCGGTCTCAGTTTCATGAGTTACTTTCGTCCTTCTGGCTTTCCAAACCATTTCAGGCACACAGTTCTCACCCAACTCTGGGACTTTACCTCCCAAGGCCTCTCGGACAGCATTTCCCGAACTGTGGTCCATGGAACCTCAAACCACCGGCTCAGAGGGTGAGCAAATATCCTGGAGTCAAACACTTTGGGATACGTTGGCTTAGACAAACATCAGAGCCCTGCGCCTTCTCGTGCACACTGTGAACTATAAGAGGAACGTATGGGATGCAGGGTTTCCCAAGTTACTGGAGCATGAACCCCACCCCGCTTGCTCCCAGGACCATCTCACAGGACTCATATTTAGGGGTACACATTTGAAAAACTGCCCTCAAGCACATCCTCATTTGGAATCCTTACCATCACCTCAAAACCCATCTGTTCCAACCCGGTTTTCCACCCTCCCTCCAAATGCTCTCCATTCCACACGACACCCCCAATTCCTCCACTGCCACCACCATTCATCCACTTTTCCAGCTCAGAATCTCATTCATCTTTGACTCTTCCTATTCAATGCCTTATCACTTGATGCCAGGTTTTACTGTTGTAGTAGGTTCCTGAATCTCCCACCTTCATTTGGTCTCTGTTCCACGAGAGTCACCCCATCTGCAGTCACCAGGTTAATTTTCACTATGTAGACATGATCACTCCCTTTCTCAAAGGCCAGCAACGACTCCCCTGCTGCAATGTTGGCCCACGCGGTCTGGCCTGCAAAGCTTCTGCCTTGCCACTGTCCTGTGCATTTGGCTAGCTCACCTTCCTTGCTGTCCTTGTTATCCAAGTCATCCTTGCTTTGCTCTCGCTGCTCACCCTGCCAGGAATGCCTTTCCTCAGCCGCTCTCCCTGCCTACTGCAGTTCTTCAAGATCCCTCTGTCACGCAACCTTCTCTTCTCAGCTCACACTGATCTTTGCGCCTCTCATTTTGGTTTCAAAAATGGCTAATCCCATTCCATTAATCACATACTGACACAGTATAGTAAAGCCTGTACAAATAGCAAATAAATGCAAATTAGGATTTGCCATGATTGGTTCTGGTCCTTCTGCCAATTTTCAAATGGCTAAAGTTCTTCTATTCTGTAGGAACAAGGAGAGAAGGTTGAGGAAGTGGCAGCCTAATGATACTTTAGGATTGACTCATTTCAGTGTGTTGCAATTGTGTACCATGTAAGGTACCCTATAGTTACTTTTGTGCTTTCCTCCACAGCAGAGACCCAATGACAAATAAAGCTCTCCTACATTTTATTTTACTAGGTTGAATTTTTTTGGACCCCATTAATCACAGTACAGCAGCGTTTACTATATTATCGGTTTCATGAGAATGATTGGTGTCCCAAACTAGTTTGCAAATTATAATTCAAAATAAATCTAGAACTTGACCACTTCTCGCCATCTCTGTCACTACAACCCTGATCCAAGACACCATCTCTCGCCTGGATTATTTATTACAGTAGACATCTGACTGCTTTCCTGGTTCCACCCTTTACCTCTGTTTTCAGCACAGAAGCCAGATAGATCCTGTTAAAGTGTAAGTCACAACACATCACTTCTCTGCTCAGAGCCCTCCAATGGCTCTCCTTGTTTCACTCACAGTAAAAGCCCAAATCTGCAGAGTTAAAAATGCTCCACACAACCAATGCCCTGCCCAACCTCTGATGCCATGTCTTCCTGCTTTCCTTCAGGCTTACTCCACTCCAGGCACACTCAGGGCCTTTGTACTGGCCACTCCACACCCCGGGAGGCTCTTCCCCAGGCGTCCCACGGTCCACTCCTTCAGGGCCTGGCTCAACATCACCTTCTCATGGAGACCTTCCCTGACTACCCTTACCCTATTTAAAATTGCAGTCTATAAGCTCCCCACCTCCCAGCACTTGTGGTCCCCCATGCCCTGCTCTTCTTTTCTCCATTCTACCTTTAAAATGACTACATGGTTTTTAAAATGTATTTTATCTATTGTTTGTTGTCTGTCCTCCTGTGTTAAAATGTAAGTTCCACAAGGACAGGAACTTTGTCTGTTTTGCTCATTGACATATCCCAAGCATCTGGATTGCCTGGCATGTGGCCAAAGTTCAAGAAATATTTGTTGAATGAAAGAATGAATTCTATAATGGCAAGGCTATATCTTAGAGGTGAGCCTTGCTCTAGGCAGAGCAAGTATTCAAGAAACAGTCAAACCAGGCATGGGCACACAAGAGACCTCATTTCACTGGCGCAGGGGACAGGAGGTATAGAATGGTGGCTTGAGGCCAGATTATATTGGGTTTCTTTCCCCTCCAGGCCCTCTGTTAGCTCCCTGCCCCCACAAGTCCTAAGGAGGTTTACTCTTCCCTGGGGATCTTCTGGGACCAAAGGAACTTAGGGCCAGGCCTGTGTAGAGGCAGAAGAATGGCTAAGATGACCTTCCAGCACTGCACACTTCAGAGTGAAGGTGCCAAGAAGGGGGCAGAAGAAACGAGAGGGTGTGGGGACCGGACTCATTTGCAAGCAGTGGGGCTGTCGGGTGTGGAGTGGAGCATCCTCTCCCTCCCCCTCTGTCCCTCCAGCTGTCACATTCAGCCAGGAGCTCCTGTCTCTGTGCCAGGAGCAGAGCCACAAGGGCCGCAGCTGGGAGGAGAGAGGACAGCCAGCAGTGGGGTCATTTGTGCTCGCTGGCGGGGCCCAGCCGGCCTCCCTCACATCCTCTGATAAAGGGGGCAGCTTGGCTCCATTCCTGAAGGGCTGCAGCCTCCCCTCTGGCATCCCTGGCTGGCCTGGTCCTCAGGGCACTGGGGGCTCTGCATTCCTGGCTCCCTGACGGAGGAGGGGGGCTTGGGTGGGGGTTTTGTGAATCTGAGGTGGAGAGAACGGTTAGGATTTATAGTCTAGATCCAGGATCTGGAGGAGGTTTGGGGTCAAAGAGAATGTTTGGGCTTGCTTCCAAAGCCGATGCCTGGCGCTTCCTCAGGCAGGAAATGCTCCAGCCTCAGATTAGGTTGGGAAACTACACCTCCCAGCATGCAGTGCGGCTGGCTCAGGGAGCGTGGGAGGCCTGGGGTCAAACTCTGGGAAGCCTCTGTCCTGCAGCTGCAGCAGCTGTGCATTGTGTCAGACCATCAGGCAGGGCCTCGGCAAGCTGGAGAACTGAACCCTCCCAGAGGCATGGACGCAGCTGCCTTCTCAGACTCCCGACACACTGCCATTTGCTGGCCTGGAGAAAGGCACATTTACCCACACATGGCCATGGGCTCCCAGTTGTGTACTCAGCGTGCAGACAGTTGCTTGACTGCTCACACCTGTTCACATTTACACACTCACAGAGAGAGGCACATACCCATACTCACATCTGGGCATACACACTCGTAGGCTCACACCCCCCCTTCCAAACAGACACGGGCCTTGAAGGCCCACCACCCTTGGTCTGAAGAACTTCCCGCCTGATGGAAGACCCTGTTACCTTCACCCCCTAGGGATGTGCCGACTTCGCTGGAATGAGGGTTGGAGAGACACCCTACACCCTAGTGGCCTCCCTGCTCTGAGGAGTGGCAAGAGACTGGGTCCCAACCAGAGAGGCATGGCCACTCTCCTCCTGACACCCCAGGGATAGATGCTGCCTCGCTTGGTCTCTTCAGTCTGGTCAAGGCCACACCCTGGTCCCCTCCCCATCTTGAACATACCCCCAGGGGGAGAAGGGAGGGGAGCTCCACTGTGTATTTTGTGATGTTGGGGCCAACCTCATGAAATTGCTGCTCAGCATAAAGTCCTTTGAAATAGGCTCCTCTGAGGGCCTGGGCCCCATGGAAATATATATACAAATTCCACTGAGATTGCCTCCTCTGTTTCCTCATCCCTATGCCCACAGCCTGGGCCTTTTGTTTCCCCCTAGGGACTCACCATGACAGCCCCCAACTCGTGTCTCGGTGCCATCCACGCAGCCTCCTGAATGCTCAGTCTAACCCGCACGCCTCACCATGCTGCTTCCCTGCTGAGAGCCATTGAGACGCTCCGCATGGCCACTAGAGAGAAAGCCCCACTCCTTCCATCCCTGCCCACTCGCTCCAGCCACTCTCCTCCCACAAACTGCCCCTGCCTGGACACCCTGACCCTCCATCTCTGCTCACTCGCCCATCCTTGCAAGAACCACTCAGTGCCACCTCCTCTGGGATATGGGGCCCCAAGAAGCCTGTGCCAAAGTGTCTCCTCCGTACACACCTCCTGCCCCGCCCCTGCTGTTCTTCATTTCCTTCTCCAGATGTGCCAAGGGCAAGGCTATTACCCGAATGGATGGCCAGAATGAAAAATTAAATTTCCACTTATCCCTCTCACCCATGCATTCCTTCCAGACCAGTGGGGCTTGGAGCACAGGGCATGGCTGTGACCCGCGGGATGGGTCCCCCAGAGAATGAGGCAGGCACTGGCTGATGTGGGAGGAAGGGTGGCGAGGTTGGCTGCTGCTTGGAAACTGACCAAGAGCATAAGAATAAATAGTTCTGAAAAGGTGCAGGCCTCCTGGCTGAGTCCTCCAGAGGGGGCTGAGAGACCCTCCCACAAGAGGGCCAGACAAACAGCTCCCGGGCCTATCCATGATTTGGCGAGCATCATGCTTCCCTGGTTCTGCCTAACTGGATGCCAACAGTAGGCACGTTGTGACCTTCTCTTCCAGTTGGAAACCTGCATGGCCTTGGCCCACCTGCCCTTCAGCCCACACCACCAACATGTTGGTGACCCACCATTGGGGGAAGGTGTCACTGTGCAGGGGCACTGCATGGTCATAAGAAGACTGAGGCTCAAAGAGGTAAGGAACCTGCTGAAGGTCACATGGCTGGGAAGAGACAGCACATGAACACAGGCCAGGTCTGTGCTGTTCATCAGATGACACTGTCTCCCTGAGTGGTGGTCACACTCCCTATGACCACTCCTCAGGGGACATGACTTGCTGGTCCCATCAGAGCTCAGCATCTGTGAGGGTCTTTGAGCTTTGCTCGGACTTTCTCCAGGAGGAGAGACATGTGTGACTCTGGCCCTCCCTTACGCTTGCCAATCTGTGAAAACCCCCAAACCCTAGCCTGGGGGAGGGGCTGCCTCAGCTTTCCCCAGGCTCTAACCCTGACATTTGTACTCCCCTAACCAGTCTGGGAGCCAAGGGCGTGGAGCTGAAGAAGACAGCGAGTGACCCCGCCCTCCTGCCCCAGGCGAGAAAAGTGACAGAGGTGCCCTGAGGACAGGGGGTGTAGCCCCTGGACAGCTCTGGCTGCTCCTTCTGCAGCTGGGCCTTGAATCTACCCACAAACGAAGTCTCCCACTCCTGAGACACAGGCTCAGGGCTGATGAATCCTCAGGGCTTCCCCAAGCCCCATGCCTGGAGTGCAGTAATCACCGCCCAGTTTCCTGTATCCCTGAGGTCACCTCCTGAGCTCATAACTTCCTGTCTGTCTCGGCAGCAGCATGATTCCACTTACTGTTCTAGGAGGTTCTTTTTGTCACTTTCTCACTCTGCAACTAGCTCAGGAACAGTGTTAAAGGCACTCCCTCTTGTGAAGTTGTGATGGTAATTTACCCCTCTATTGACTTGTTTTGATGCTTCCATTAATAAGAACGATAATGATGGAGGTCATGATAATGACAGAGCATTGGCCATTTATTGACAGATTGATCTACACTAGGTCCTTGACCTACATTAAGCATAATCCTGACAACAACCCTTTATGGCAGGCCACAGTTTCCTCATTTTATAGATGAGGGCTTGTCTGGGGTCACAGCTACCTGAGATCATGCCCAGGCTCTTTCATGTCCCAGAGGCTGTTTCTCCTCAGCACATCGTAGCCCTTGTTCTCCTTTTAGCACCTAGAGGTACAGTGGCTGGGCCATCTCATCTGCACTAACAGAGAGAGTTGCAGGTAAAACAGCAATTCAGTTGCAGGGCACGCAAACAACCATGGCTTTGGGCTACAACCTCGCTTTCTCTCCAGTCTCCTTGTTTGACATAAGCTTCACCTGTAGGCCCATGAGGGTTTCCTCAACTGAAGGTGCACAGCTTAGAGGAGATGAGCTCCCCCTGCAAACCCCCATACCCCCCTTTGCCCCCCCACCAAGCCAGCATCCCATGGCATGTTCTGTTGGCAGATTCATGGGCAATGCTCTACAATGCCAGCTTCCCTGGGGACACCTCGATAAAAATAAATACTGGGGGCTGGGGTGGGAGTGACTTAGGCTGAATCACCAAAGAAAAATGACAAAGTTCTTTCTTAGGGAGAGGAAGGGATCACAAGGGAAGCCCCCTCTGCAGAATGGTTTGTCCCACTGATCGTGACCCTGTCAAATGGAGGTGTATGTGTGTGAGGGGTCTCTCACATCCTTCCTTCCCACTGACAAAACCGAGCCTAGCCCTGCCTAAAGCTCCTGGAGGTGGGGTTGGTGGGCCCCCTGTGATCCAGTAAGTCATCTTCCAAGGTGACCAGGTAGCCCTGCAGCACTTACGTGGTCCAGTGGTACTCGGTGGCTGGGGGATTGGCATCAGCTTTGCACGTGAGCTTCACATCTGTCCGCTGCAGGTACCAGTTGCCATCAAACCCCTCAATGGTCACCTCGGGCTCGTCTGTGGGGCAAAGGGTAGTGTTTGAAAAGGATGAGGTCAGGGGAGCAGGACTTAGCACAAGGGAGCCTGAGATAGTGATAGATGGAAAGAGAGGTGACAGGCAACAGCAGAATGAGAGGGAGGGTGAAGATCACAGAGCCTGGAGCAGAAACAGCAAGGGGAACAAGGAGGGAGGGTACAGCACCCCCAGAAAGAACAGGGGGTGGGGGGAGGAGAGGAAGGGAGTGGGGAGTGACAGAGATGGGAAGCAGAGCAGGAGGGAATGACGGGGAGGAGGTGAGAAGGGACAGTGGCGTCCACTGGGCAGGTCCACCCCGGCACCCGGCCCTGGCTCACACTGCACATTGAGGGTGAGGCTTTCCTTGAAGCGGTCCATGTGGTAGTTGACGATGCAGGCCAGGGACTGCTGGTGGGCTTCCCGGCTGGGCACCAGGCGGTAACGGCTGATGACTGTCACTGTGCCATTGGGGTTCCGGATCTCCTGGTACTCTGCCTCGCCCTTTAGCCGTGTTTCCCAGGATACCACGCTAGGAGGCTTGCCATTGGCTGAGGTGCAGGTGGCCACCAGGACCTTGTCATCCTGTCCCTTCTTGGCTCGAAGCACTGCTTGGGTGCCCTCTATCCAGTTGGTGGGTTTGGCTGCAGAGAACCAGAGAGAGACATGGGACCAGCTCTACCGCCTTGTCAAAGATGCATGGGCCCAGGAGGTCACCTGGCCATCTCTGCCTCTCAGCTGTGCTTCACCAAAGCCCTTCCCCAGAGAGAGACATGGGACCAGCTCTACCGCCTTGTCAAAGATGCATGGGCCCAGGAGGTCATCTGGCCATCTCTGCCTCTCAGCTGTGCTTCACCAAAGCCCTTCCCAGAACTCCTTGTAGGAAGGTCTTCTGATATATCGCCTCCCTGTTCTACTTATATGTATCCTGTTGTGGCAAGCTTAGGCCTTCTTGGAGTCTTGGCACGTTCAAGTCAAGTAGCTTAAGTGGCTCCTGTCCTTACCGTGGTGACTGATGCTCTGGCCTGCTTCCTGGCCACCCACAAAGTGCCCCAAGGTGGGGCTCCAACCTGAATACTGGTCCTCTGCTCTGTCCACAGCTAAGCCCCTGTCCCCAATCCCTAGTGAACTGTGGCACAGCCTGGCTAGAAGAGACTGGAACCACCACTCCTGAAGCTATGACAGCCCTGCCTACCCAAGGAGGACATCTGGGGCCACTGAGGCACACCAAGGATGGCCAAGCTCCCAGGTCAAAGGCCTCTGCACAAGACGGGAGGGGGCTTACCCATCACAGTGAGATTGAGCTGGCTCTCACGATTGCCTGTAGGGAACGTGGAGAACTCGCAGATGTAGACACCCTCGTCCTCCAGCTCTAGGCGGGAGAGGCGGATGGTGCCGTCGGTGAAGGAACGCCGCAGGAATTCCACACGCTCGCGGTAAGGAGTCAGCACAGAGACGCCCATGACAGGGTTGTAGATGGCCACGTTCTGCTTGGAGCCATTGGTGGCCTTTTGCCATGTGACCTGGGTGATCTTCACACTGGGCAGTGGGTTGGCGAAGCTGCAGTGGAGCACCACGTCTGTGCCGATGAAGCCATACATGGAGTCATTCACCTGGACCACCTGGGTGTGCATGACTGCACGAGGGGGATGGCAGAGCGGTCAGTGCAGGCGCAGCTTCCCCCAGCCACCCACGCACTCCCTGCACTCTGGTCTTTTCTTTCTTCTTTTCTCATTTATTTATTTATGTATTTATTTATTCTTACGACTGGCTGGTATGGGTATCCAAACCCTTGTCCTTGGTGTGGTCTTTTCTTTTATAGCAGTCATTATTCTTTTTATTCTGATTATAAAGATATTAATTATTTCATAAAAACAGGCTGGGCAATACTGAAAAATACTGAGAAGAAAATGACAACATCCCATAATCCCACCACTCGGAAATATCACTGATGATCTTGTGGGATCTATCTTTTTTTACTTTTTCTCTCTGTATCTATATACATCTACATAATGGTCTATTTTTTCAAAAAAGTCAGAATCCTACTGTACATGCTGTTCCACAACCTGCTTTTTCACTTAGTGACATATTATTAGTACCACTCTGGCTGGTCAATACACGTCGGCACCGTCATTTCTGACGATGGTCGAACGCACTGCTTTTCAAGTTGAGCCCTAGCCTGGGAGCTTTACCTTCCTGGGCCTCGGTTCCCTCATCTGATAAATGGGGCAGATAATCCAGTCCTCCTACCCCCAGGGTTGCCAGGGGAGCCAAATGGTATAATGGTTGAGAAAGTGCGTCAGGAGGCAGGAAGCTCTGGAAGAACGCGAGGGCTGGTGGTGGCCCTCCCGCTGTCTTCTCCTGAGTTCCCGTCCCTTGGGGGGCACCGGCTCGGCCCCTCTTACCCAGCCAGGCAGAGGGAAATAGGCACAGCACGAGGCTGGCCTCTGGATTCCCTGTTGCCTTCACGATCGAGTCTAAATGCCTTAACTTGCACTCGATGTCCTTGTCATCTGCCTTTTTTCCACACATCTCCACAAACCATGCTTTCCACCCTATCAGCCAGGCAGAGGGAAATAGGCACAGCACGAGGCTGGCCTCTGGATTCCCTGTTGCCTTCATGATCGAGTCTAAATGCCTTAACTTGCACTCGATGTCCTTGTCATCTGCCTTTTTTCCACACATCTCCACAAACCATGCTTTCCACCCTACCAGACTGGGCCCATCCTCAGAATATGCCACCTTTCTGTGTTTCTTTCCCTTCCTCTTCCCATTTATTTAACCACCATTTGCTGAATGACTATATTCCAGGATCTATAATCAGCGCTTGCGTCATATCAACGAGCAATTCAGTCCCGGCCCCCAAGAGGCACAAAGCCTATTTGCACAACCCTTCTGACTCTTGCTCAGGCAGTTCCCTCAATCAAGATGGCCCTTTCCCCTCTCCACCTATGACAGCCCACTGAGGCCACCTGCTTTGGGGAGCCTTCGCTGGTCCTCTCAGCCTGAGTTCCCTTGGCTGCCTCCAGTATAGGTCTTCTCTGCCTTGGAATGTGGTAGTTTACACATCTGGCTTCTTCACCAGACCGTCAGCTCTCCCAGGGCAGGGTCTGTCTCTTTTCCATCTCTATATCCCCAGTGCCCAGCCTGGCATCTGGCACACAGTAGGTGCCAGTAAATATTTGTTGCTAGACAAATTGCAATGGAAGCCAAGAGAGGAGAGACTTGCAGGAAGGAGGGAGTGATTGGCGGCATCGAGTGACTGAATTCCCTCCAGCCTCCCCACTGATTGTTTTACCCCATCTAGAATGTCTTCAGCCTCACCTCCCTCCACTCGGGGCAGCCTCCTGTCACTAGGCTCCATCTTCCAGCTCTCTCAGGCCACGCTCAGTCTACATCAGCTCCCGCAGGCCGGGTCCCTGCTTCGCATTCATACACATCGTGTCTTTGCACCTTTACTTTATCAGTCAATGCATCAAGCACCATCAATAGTATCAATAATGCCAGGTCCTGTACTGACCCAGAGGCAGGGGGATGGCCTAATGGCCCCCCAAGGGAGCCTGGGATCCAGGAGTGGGAATTTGGGGTTTACACCTGCCTCCTCTACATGATGGAGACATGGGAGCAGTTGGGCTCCTCTGAGGGCTCCAAAGACCGTGGTCAGCAAAGTCAGCTGCTCCCCTGCTCCTCCTATCCAGAGGGCACAGGCCAGGTCTCTCTCGGTCACTGTGGTATCCCTGGTGCCTAGCACACAGTAGGTACTCAAGATATGCTTGCGGAGTAAATTTATCCTTGGCCCCACCAACCAGGCCCTTGGCACACTCTGGAAGTTTCCCTGATGTTCTCCCTTCTCTACGCCTATTCACATCCACACAGCCCTTCACAACCCCTATCCCCAGCCTCACCCCTCCGGCTGTCCTCTTGGCCAGCCTGTGGGGTGCTTTGGAGCTGGTGCTACTTCTGACATCTCTGCAGGCAGAGGCACTGTGGGTTGGTGGCAGTAGGATGGGGGAAGCACGCACCTGGGAGTCTGGAGGGCTAGGCTCCAGCCTGCCTCTGCCTTTAGCTGGCTGTGGGACCCTGGCCAGTCACTACCCCTTTCTGAGCCCTATTTTCCTCCTCTCTCTCAATGGCCCCTCCTGGCCCTAACTGGCTGATGGCAACCCAGCCCAGCCGTGGCCCAGAAATAATCCCAGGGTGAGGTCAGTGGGCCACACGGCCGAGCACTCTTGCTGGCTGGCTGGCCAGGAGCTAGGCCCCAGGCCCTCCCTGGCAGGAAAACTGGGGGCCCCCTGCCCCCCCCCCCCCAACTGCACTCACCAAGCCTGCTGGCGGCTGAGATAATGTGGGTATAATTGGGGAACTTGCGCCACACAAAGCCAGGAACAGGAAAAGCCAGTTGGGAGGGCTTAGGCCACAGGTGAGAATGGGGGGAAGGGATGTGGGCACCAGAAACCATCTTGGGATTGGTATCAGGCGTGGTGGGTCTGCAGAGGGACATGGCCCACCAAGTCCCTGGCGCACAGGCTGACATTCATCTGCTGCATCTTCTGTGGTGACCTCACCCTTCAGAGCCACGTCAGTGCCAGGAGAGATCGCTGACAGGGGCCTGAGTGTGGGGTGGGAAGGGTGCTGCAAGAGGCTCAGGTGCCCCAGAAGCCCCATGTCATCCACCAGTATATTACCAGGCAGGGGATGGCCCTTCCCACCCATGTCTATTTTGGGGCGGAGGTTGCTCTCTTTTCTCCACTGTGGCTTCTCCAGAAGCAAAGTCCCCCAGAAGAAAGTTACTGGCGTCCCCTCACTGCATGAAGCGGGTGCTCCTGGCCTCTTTGCCCTTTGTGCCCCAGTGATAGGCAGGGCGGGGTGNGGGATCACCCTGACTGTGCACATACCTTAAATGAAGGAAGGAGAAAAGCAAAGCAAGGCCAATGGCCAGAGCTCAAGAGAGAACCAGAGAAGCAGGAAAAGGAGACATAAACTTCCTGCAATGACACAACCCAAAGGTGGGAGACGTAGATGGTGGAGGAAATCCTGGGTTGGGAGAGGCAAGGTAGGATGTAGCTTCCTACCTGTGATATTGACCTCCACTTGGCCCGAGCGGGTGCCGATGGGGTTGGTGGCCTCACAGACATAGGTCCCTGCCAGGCTATAGTTGATGGGTCCCTTGAAGAAGAGGGTTCTGTTCTGGGCCTCCACGCCCTTGGGGAGAGAGCCATTCAGCCTGTGGGAATTGGAGACATCATGTAGGGTTATGACTCTCCAGCCCCATGAAGCTGTCCCTGTGTCACCCACTTGGCTCCAAGCCCACCAACCCTTCCGCTGAGTTCATGTGGTGGGTCTGTCTTGGAAGGAGGAAAAATAACAATGTTAATAATCTCTTGCATTTGGCAGTTTCATATTATTCAGCATTTCATATTTGATCATAACACTGAAATAGGCAGGACAGGGAGGTACTGGTCCTACTTAAGAGATAAAACCTAAGGTTCAAGGCCAAGGAAACACAGCTAGGAAGCAATAGATTGGGAACTCTAGTCAGATCTCTGGGCTCCTGCTGCAGTGCTCTCTCTATTGCTCATGGTGGCTGATTGTTGGTCCTTGGTCTCCTGGGTAGCTGGTTAATACAGACACCTGGGTCCTAACCCAGATCTCCTGAAGCAGAACCACTGGGGTGAAGGCCTGTGAATCTGTATTTTAACAAGCTGCTTAGGTGATGAGATAGGAATTACTGGGTTTCGCTGTCTCATGTTCTTGCTGGGAATGTCACAGGGGAGCGTCCTGAGAGTTTGCTGAGGACTGGGGACCTTCTTCAGAAGCACTTTTTGTTCCAGGAAGTGGAGGATAATAGGTGCAGCACGTCAATGTCCTCTACTTCCTGGAAAAGGGGTAGAGACTCATTCTGGGCCGCTGTCGTCTGGCTGCCCATGTCAACCCTCTTCTTGGCTCCACCCATGCACGCCCCTGTCTTTCTGTAAGTTTCATCCAGCTCTTCTCTGGGAAGAACCTTGGCCCAGGCCATCAGAGCTGGCTGGAAGGGAGACAGGATCCTCCGAGGGCCAGGCCCAAAGGTCATGCAGCCAAGAATTAGATGGTGGGATGTGGGGCAGCCTGCATGAGCACGGGCATTCTGGCTGACTGCTGCCTCCTCCTCAAGAATCTGGGGGTGCTGGAGAGAAGGAATACGAGCAAAGAAAGATCTGGGATGCTCTACAATGCCAGCTTCCCTGGGGACACCTCGATAAAAATAAATACTGGGGGCTGGGGTGGGAGTGACTTAGGCTGAATCACCAAAGAAAAATGACAAAGTTCTTTCTTAGGGAGAGGAAGGGATCACAAGGGAAGCCCCCTCTGCAGAATGGTTTGTCCCACTGATCGTGACCCTGTCAAATGGAGGTGTATGTGTGTGAGGGGTCTCTCACATCCTTCCTTCCCACTGACAAAACCGAGCCTAGCCCTGCCTAAAGCTCCTGGAGGTGGGGTTGGTGGGCCCCCTGTGATCCAGTAAGTCATCTTCCAAGGTGACCAGGTAGCCCTGCAGCACTTACGTGGTCCAGTGGTACTCGGTGGCTGGGGGATTGGCATCAGCTTTGCACGTGAGCTTCACATCTGTCCGCTGCAGGTACCAGTTGCCATCAAACCCCTCAATGGTCACCTCGGGCTCGTCTGTGGGGCAAAGGGTAGTGTTTGAAAAGGATGAGGTCAGGGGAGCAGGACTTAGCACAAGGGAGCCTGAGATAGTGATAGATGGAAAGAGAGGTGACAGGCAACAGCAGAATGAGAGGGAGGGTGAAGATCACAGAGCCTGGAGCAGAAACAGCAAGGGGAACAAGGAGGGAGGGGACAGCACCCCCAGAAAGAACAGGGGGTGGGGGGAGGAGAGGAAGGGAGTGGGGAGTGACAGAGATGGGAAGCAGAGCAGGAGGGAATGATGGGGAGGAGGTGAGAAGGGACAGTGGCGTCCACTGGGCAGGTCCACCCCGGCACCCGGCCCTGGCTCACACTGCACATTGAGGGTGAGGCTTTCCTTGAAGCGGTCCATGTGGTAGTTGACGATGCAGGCCAGGGACTGCTGGTGGGCTTCCCGGCTGGGCACCAGGCGGTAACGGCTGATGACTGTCACTGTGCCATTGGGGTTCCGGATCTCCTGGTACTCTGCCTCGCCCTTTAGCCGTGTTTCCCAGGATACCACGCTAGGAGGCTTGCCATTGGCTGAGGTGCAGGTGGCCACCAGGACCTTGTCATCCTGTCCCTTCTTGGCTCGAAGCACTGCTTGGGTGCCCTCTATCCAGTTGGTGGGTTTGGCTGCAGAGAACCAGAGAGAGACATGGGACCAGCTCTACCGCCTTGTCAAAGATGCATGGGCCCAGGAGGTCATCTGGCCATCTCTGCCTCTCAGCTGTGCTTCACCAAAGCCCTTCTCAGAACTCCTTGTAGGAAGGTCTTCTGATATATCGCCTCCCTGTTCTACTTATATGTATCCTGTTGTGGCAAGCTTAGGCCTTCTTGGAGTCTTGGCACGTTCAAGTCAAGTAGCTTAAGTGGCTCCTGTCCTTACCGTGGTGACTGATGCTCTGGCCTGCTTCCTGGCCACCCACAAAGTGCCCCAAGGTGGGGCTCCAACCTGAATACTGGTCCTCTGCTCTGTCCACAGCTAAGCCCCTGTCCCCAATCCCTAGTGAACTGTGGCACAGCCTGGCTAGAAGAGACTGGAACCACCACTCCTGAAGCTATGACAGCCCTGCCTACCCAAGGAGGACATCTGGGGCCACTGAGGCACACCAAGGATGGCCAAGCTCCCAGGTCAAAGGCCTCTGCACAAGACGGGAGGGGGCTTACCCATCACAGTGAGATTGAGCTGGCTCTCACGATTGCCTGTAGGGAACGTGGAGAACTCGCAGATGTAGACACCCTCGTCCTCCAGCTCTAGGCGGGAGAGGCGGATGGTGCCGTCGGTGAAGGAACGCCGCAGGAATTCCACACGCTCGCGGTAAGGAGTCAGCACAGAGACGCCCATGACAGGGTTGTAGATGGCCACGTTCTGCTTGGAGCCATTGGTGGCCTTTTGCCATGTGACCTGGGTGATCTTCACACTGGGCAGTGGGTTGGCGAAGCTGCAGTGGAGCACCACGTCTGTGCCGATGAAGCCATACATGGAGTCATTCACCTGGACCACCTGGGTGTGCATGACTGCACGAGGGGGATGGCAGAGCGGTCAGTGCAGGCGCAGCTTCCCCCAGCCACCCACGCACTCCCTGCACTCTGGTCTTTTCTTTCTTCTTTTCTCATTTATTTATTTATGTATTTATTTATTCTTACGACTGGCTGGTATGGGTATCCAAACCCTTGTCCTTGGTGTGGTCTTTTCTTTTATAGCAGTCATTATTCTTTTTATTCTGATTATAAAGATATTAATTATTTCATAAAAACAGGCTGGGCAATACTGAAAAATACTGAGAAGAAAATGACAACATCCCATAATCCCACCACTCGGAAATATCACTGATGATCTTGTGGGATCTATCTTTTTTTACTTTTTCTCTCTGTATCTATATACATCTACATAATGGTCTATTTTTTCAAAAAAGTCAGAATCCTACTGTACATGCTGTTCCACAACCTGCTTTTTCACTTAGTGACATATTATTAGTACCACTCTGGCTGGTCAATACACGTCGGCACCGTCATTTCTGACGATGGTCGAACGCACTGCTTTTCAAGTTGAGCCCTAGCCTGGGAGCTTTACCTTCCTGGGCCTCGGTTCCCTCATCTGATAAATGGGGCAGATAATCCAGTCCTCCTACCCCCAGGGTTGCCAGGGGAGCCAAATGGTATAATGGTTGAGAAAGTGCGTCAGGAGGCAGGAAGCTCTGGAAGAACGCGAGGGCTGGTGGTGGCCCTCCCGCTGTCTTCTCCTGAGTTCCCGTCCCTTGGGGGGCACCGGCTCGGCCCCTCTTACCCAGCCAGGCAGAGGGAAATAGGCACAGCACGAGGCTGGCCTCTGGATTCCCTGTTGCCTTCATGATCGAGTCTAAATGCCTTAACTTGCACTCGATGTCCTTGTCATCTGCCTTTTTTCCACACATCTCCACAAACCATGCTTTCCACCCTACCAGACTGGGCCCATCCTCAGAATATGCCACCTTTCTGTGTTTCTTTCCCTTCCTCTTCCCATTTATTTAACCACCATTTGCTGAATGACTATATTCCAGGATCTATAATCAGCGCTTGCGTCATATCAACGAGCAATTCAGTCCCGGCCCCCAAGAGGCACAAAGCCTATTTGCACAACCCTTCTGACTCTTGCTCAGGCAGTTCCCTCAATCAAGATGGCCCTTTCCCCTCTCCACCTATGACAGCCCACTGAGGCCACCTGCTTTGGGGAGCCTTCGCTGGTCCTCTCAGCCTGAGTTCCCTTGGCTGCCTCCAGTATAGGTCTTCTCTGCCTTGGAATGTGGTAGTTTACACATCTGGCTTCTTCACCAGACCGTCAGCTCTCCCAGGGCAGGGTCTGTCTCTTTTCCATCTCTATATCCCCAGTGCCCAGCCTGGCATCTGGCACACAGTAGGTGCCAGTAAATATTTGTTGCCAGACAAATTGCAATGGAAGCCAAGAGAGGAGAGACTTGCAGGAAGGAGGGAGTGATTGGCGGCATCGAGTGACTGAATTCCCTCCAGCCTCCCCACTGATTGTTTTACCCCATCTAGAATGTCTTCAGCCTCACCTCCCTCCACTCGGGGCAGCCTCCTGTCACTAGGCTCCATCTTCCAGCTCTCTCAGGCCACGCTCAGTCTACATCAGCTCCCGCAGGCCGGGTCCCTGCTTCGCATTCATACACATCGTGTCTTTGCACCTTTACTTTATCAGTCAATGCATCAAGCACCATCAATAGTATCAATAATGCCAGGTCCTGTACTGACCCAGAGGCAGGGGGATGGCCTAATGGCCCCCCAAGGGAGCCTGGGATCCAGGAGTGGGAATTTGGGGTTTACACCTGCCTCCTCTACATGATGGAGACATGGGAGCAGTTGGGCTCCTCTGAGGGCTCCAAAGACCGTGGTCAGCAAAGTCAGCTGCTCCCCTGCTCCTCCTATCCAGAGGGCACAGGCCAGGTCTCTCTCGGTCACTGTGGTATCCCTGGTGCCTAGCACACAGTAGGTACTCAAGATATGCTTGCGGAGTAAATTTATCCTTGGCCCCACCAACCAGGCCCTTGGCACACTCTGGAAGTTTCCCTGATGTTCTCCCTTCTCTACGCCTATTCACATCCACACAGCCCTTCACAACCCCTATCCCCAGCCTCACCCCTCCGGCTGTCCTCTTGGCCAGCCTGTGGGGTGCTTTGGAGCTGGTGCTACTTCTGACATCTCTGCAGGCAGAGGCACTGTGGGTTGGTGGCAGTAGGATGGGGGAAGCACGCACCTGGGAGTCTGGAGGGCTAGGCTCCATCCTGCCTCTGCCTTTAGCTGGCTGTGGGACCCTGGCCAGTCACTACCCCTTTCTGAGCCCTATTTTCCTCCTCTCTCTCAATGGCCCCTCCTGGCCCTAACTGGCTGATGGCAACCCAGCCCAGCCGTGGCCCAGAAATAATCCCAGGGTGAGGTCAGTGGGCCACACGGCCGAGCACTCTTGCTGGCTGGCTGGCCAGGAGCTAGGCCCCAGGCCCTCCCTGGCAGGAAAACTGGGTGCTCCCTGCCCCCCCCCCCCAACTGCACTCACCAAGCCTGCTGGCGGCTGAGATAATGTGGGTATAATTGGGGAACTTGCGCCACACAAAGCCAGGAACAGGAAAAGCCAGTTGGGAGGGCTTAGGCCACAGGTGAGAATGGGGGGAAGGGATGTGGGCACCAGAAACCATCTTGGGATTGGTATCAGGCGTGGTGGGTCTGCAGAGGGACATGGCCCACCAAGTCCCTGGCGCACAGGCTGACATTCATCTGCTGCATCTTCTGTGGTGACCTCACCCTTCAGAGCCACGTCAGTGCCAGGAGAGATCGCTGACAGGGGCCTGAGTGTGGGGTGGCAAGAGGCTCAGGTGCCCCAGAAGCCCCATGTCATCCACCAGTATATTATCAGGCAGGGGATGGCCCTTCCCACCCATGTCTATTTTGGGGTGGAGGTTGCTCTCTTTTCTCCACTGTGGCTTCTCCAGAAGCAAAGTCCCCCAGAAGAAAGTTACTGGCGTCCCCTCACTGCATGAAGCGGGTGCTCCTGGCCTCTTTGCCCTTTGTGCCCCAGTGATAGGCAGGGCGGGGTGGGGCAGGGAGGATCCCTAAGCAGCAGGCACAAACTTACCCTCTGCCACAGCTCACTCTTAACAGGGCCAAGGGAGGTGGCCCTGGGGTGGGCATAAGGGAGCACTTGGAATATGGGGCTTGGGGTCACTGAGGGTGGGGATCCCAGAATTCTGGAGTTGGAAGGGGCTGGAAGACTGGTGAGGCCTAAAGACTTCCCCTTCTCATCCCCTTCTTCCCTACTCCAGACTTAGGGACCTGGAACCCAAGCTTCTGGCTTGGGGCTGCCTTTCTTGGTCCAAGGATGCAGGGTGGGGGAGAGCTTGGGGCTGCCTTTCTTGGTCCAAGGATGTCCCTAGTTCTTTAGATTGGGCAAATTGGGAGGCTTCCAGAGTGGGGAAGACTCAGGCACCAGGCAGGGTCAGAATGAGTCAATGGGGAACAGGGCTCATTACGGAAAAGAGAGAGAAAGGGCTGGATGGGGGTAGGAATTCAGGATCAGGTGGACTATTAGTGTTACCTGGAAGGTCTGGAAGAAGGGGCCAGGATTGAGGGAAACCTGCTCCATGGGTGGGCAGCAGGAGCGGGTACCTCAGAGACTGCACAGCCCCTCTCCTGCCTGTCTAAGCAGGAGACATGCAGCCCTGACAACCTGAAAACTGACGCTGGCGTCTCCCTGCTGCAGCACACCCTCAGGCAGTGTGGGGGGCCGTGTGAGCCAGGCAGTGGGGGTTGTACTCTACCTCCCCTATTTATGAGCCTCTGACTTTGGGCAAGTGATTTAACCTCTCTGTGGCTCAGTTTGCACCGAGGTTGCATGTCTACAAAATGGGGATTACAATAGTTAATACCTGCCCTATAAAATTGTTATAAGGATTAAATGAAGGAGTACATGGGAAACTTAGAAAGCAGCACTGAGTACAAATTAAATGCTCAATAAATGTCGGTTGCTATCATCATCATCATCATCACCATCACCATCATCATCATCTTTCATCTATGAAGCAGTAGGCCTCCCTTTCTGGAACTTCGTTTAACAAATATTTATTGAGCACCTACCCCATACTGGGCATTCTACTGGGCATTACTAGCCCCCTCTTGTAGGATGCCCTTGTGACTCTATCCCTTCCTACTCAGCTGACACCTCTATTCATACCCCAACAGACTGTAAGTTCCATGTCAGAGGGAAAAAGCAGGCTTGGCCTTGGGTTGCGTTGACCATGCCATGCCTGACGGTGGTAGGGTCCAAGGCTTGGAGAGTACCCTGCTGACTCTCTCTGGCTCCCCTCGCAGTTAGGGCCGGTCCACAGAACACACCCTCTTACAGGAACAGAGGCTGGCCCAGATGTGGGACCTGGGACCACTGAAATGGCAGCATATTGGAGCTCACTGGGCCATGCAATCCATCATTTACAAAGTCCAGAGACACAAAAGCAGTGCCCAGCCCTGTGCCTCCATCTCCCCTTGTGAGAAACGGCGTGAACACCAGTTACAATACCACAGCCACCGCGCCTGCGGGCCACCCTGTACTGGAGTCCAGTGATTGGGTGCAAGGTCATGGGTCAGAAACAGGGACTTGGGGAGTCCAGGTGGGGGGCACCTGTAGGAGGCCGCCATGTGCAGAGGAAGAGCCAAGAGGAAGGGACTGAAGGGTGAGGACAACTCAGGAATCCGTGCCCTCAGCAGAGGGGTTCTTCACCCCAGGGATATCAAAGACCGAGTCCTTTTATCCTGACTTCAAGCACTATCTATATTCTGCCAGACCACCCTATGAGCTCCAGGGTCTAGGACCCAGGCCCCTGGGTCTTGTGCTCAAGTGCCTCAGTTTCCCCATGAGAGCCCAAGTTGGGCAGTTCACTGCCTGGCTTCCCAGAAGTGCTGAGCCAGCATGGCCGGCATCAGGCCGGCCCCCTGAGACGTCACAGACCTGTGAAAGCCCAAGCTCAGCAACAAAACACAAAGGCTCCTCAGTTGTGG